AACTCTTCTTCCTTTTTGGTGTAGGGGGCAGTACTTCGACTGTTATAAATTTGGGTGGTTGAGAAGAAGCTACATCAGAGAGATTTGATTTATTCTTCTTTATCTTCTTGGTTTTTGAAGGAGTCGAAGGGGCATCTCCATCATCTTCAGAAATGTGTGGAGTTTCAACGGTGGATTTTCTCTTCCTTTGGAAACTTTGGTGGTTCGAGTTCGAAAGTTAAGTCATACCTATTTTTTGGTTTGGCACATGAGGGGATACTCAAACGCGTAAGTATTTTAGTAAATTTTTCTCTCAAAGTTTTTGTTGGATTATATATGGTTTGACAAGATCATTCGGATTGTACACAGTTTCAAAGTATTTTTGGAACGCCTGGATCTCTTTGTTGTGAGTCTTCGTACCTTTCTTGATATGATCCTGCATAGAGGCAAAAGCTTTTGTCAGTTGCTGAGCAAGGAGGGTTGCATCGAACATGCTGTTGGAGTAATATTTCCTCCATCAACTGTCGAAGGATTTGGTGCAATAGAAGGAAGGTTAGAAAGGAATGATTTTAAATTTAGGAAAGGTGGAGTAGCGTTGTATATGTTCTTCTCTTTCAGGAACAGTGAAATTCATTCCTTGAAAACAAATAGCGCTCTTTCTTTCGAAAAGAGTTTCAAGAATTAGTTGGCAAAGTCCAAATTGTCGAGCGACGAAATTAGGTTAATAGGCGAATAAGATGATGCGGCTCTTAATAGGCATGAGTCTCGTGGTGATCAACCTAGGAATTAGGAAAGCCTGCCAGATGGCCAAGGATTCTTCCTCTTGAAGTGGCGAAATATTTGAGAGAGACCTTGTAAACCATTCAGGGCCATGGGGTCTTTGAACGAAGGGAGCCATCGAAGGATTAAAGTTATGACGTTTTGCAAACATCATACATAAGTTGTAAAACATTCCTCTAAATCCTTTCCCACATCGTGTGAGGTTAATTGAACTAATCTTGTTCCCTAAATCGTTTAATTATGGATTTCTGGGTCTACTTCGTCTATTTTTCCAAAGGTGGAAAGTGAAGGTTTGAAGGTGACGTTAAGCCACAGTTGAAGAAGCCAATATGGGCCAACTAAGAGTAAATTGGTACCTGCTTCATAATCTTTTAGGTTTCTAGTAGCTTCCCCTAGATACTCATACAGTCCAACTAATATTAATTCATTAAGGAAAACATTTTGACCATAGTGGAGTTGATTGGCTAGGGTTAATAACCTCTTAGCTACTTGCAAAGATTTGCTGCAGAAAATGCATCGAGATAGCCACAATGCAAGGAAAGCTATGTGTTCCACATATGAGATTTCTTATCCTCTAACATGGTAATGAGCAATATATTTGGTGAAGTCAGTGTGGTCAACGTCGAAGCTAATGGAGTTTTCTGTTTGCTAGGTAGGGTCAAAGATTTCCCCAGTGGGTCGAAGCCCAGTTATAACAACAACATCAAAAAGAGTGGGAGTAATCATTCCACAGGGAAGATGAAAAATGTTATAAGTGGTTTCCTAGAAGTTTAAAGATGCCATTAGCATGTGTTGACAATAGTCTGGTCCAACTTTCGACAGTTGAATTAAGCCGAAAATACCCATGTCTTTCCAGACTTGGGATTTCTTCTGTTCGAATCTATCTAGCCAATCCAGATATGGCTTGCTATCTTTCGCTGGGAATGATCTAAAAGGCCTAAAATATTCAGTCATATAATCTAAATGAAGAGGTTTTTCTGTCTTTACAGTTTCTGAAGGAAGTTTTCCCTGAGTAATTTATGCAGCTGACTCTTTAGGATTTTGATCAATCTTTTCATCTGTAATTTTGGGGGTACTAGGCTTACTATCTATGGGTTTGGTTAAACGATAATTAGAGAAAAATCCATTTTCCCTCTAAATCACCAGTATTAACTAAAGGACCATATATCCTAAGTTTCTATCAGCAAGGATAAAGGGAATGATTACCTGAGATGCGTAGATAGCAGATTTCTCTGCAGAAAGTATAGGCATTGGTATGAATTCCTTGTTCCCAATCAGAGTAGGTTTTGCTATGTCACTAACAGGAACAGTAACAACATCTTTAGTTTTCTTCAAGTCTTGAGCTGATTTGTTACCTTTCTTGGAGGCCACCGTTGTTGAAGAAAAGTTTGAGGTTTGATTGATTGTGGAAAGAAGAAGAGTAAAGAAAATTGCATATTGTTGAAAGTTTGAGAAGCAAAAAGTGAGGATTTGAAGAAGAAGAAGAAAGTTTTTATAATAAAAAGTGGCAAAACGGTTCATTTTTCTATTTTGGCAATGAAATAGATAGTGGGAAACGTGTTTGTGGCTGATAAGTTGACAAGATGGTTATTTTTTGGGAAAGCCACAATTTATACCTACTTTAATGTTGCAATGATGAAATCTGAACTACGCACGTCTCGATGAGACGTTTGGAAAGATGGTCATCATGATCATGACGTCACAACAGTAATAGTCATCATGAAGTGAATTATGTGTTGAAATTGAGGTCGTGCAAAAAATATCCATTTCTTCAAACGTTGCAAAATAAATATTTTTAGGGGGTAATCTATTAGTAGAGAATTTCGACGACTCATAATATGAAAGGATAGTAAAAGGATATCGAAGAAAGTTTAATCTTAGAAGGAAAGGTGAAAGATATTGCTTATGATATTCGACTGAATGACCAAATAAAGGTGGAGAATTATTAAGTATAGGCGAAATCTTATTATTATGAAGTATATAAGACTTAAGATATTTCAAGTTTCGAATTCAAACAATTCGACAGCTCACGTTGTGGTTTTGGCGCTTTGAATCAAAGACGGATTTTGAATTCAAATGATTTGATCTTATTCAGAAGGACGCATGAAAACCTGAGGGTTCAAAGAAGCATGCAATGTCAAACATGGCACTCCTTTAGCGAAAGACCGTTATGGTCGAAGTAGTACAAATTATGATCTTTATGTTAGATTTATTGTGTTCACTTTTGTACAAATTACTCATAAAACTCGAAGTACCAGTGTTAGAGAAAAGAGACATTGAGAATGTACGTATGAATCACCATATTTTACTTAATTGTCAGTTTATTTTTACCAGAATCTCTTTCATTCCTTTTACTGTTAAGTCGAAAACTTTTTATTTTCCTGTAGTTCCTTTACATAAAATTTATGTCATTTACACATTAACCATAACCTTTGAAAAGATGAATATTCGAAATATATAAACCAACGAAACACAACACGTGTCCTATGATCAATCTAGTCAATCCTGTAAATAATCAGAATTTCTAAAATTTAGAAGACCAGCGATTGTTTACCAATTTTCACGAGAAACACTACCACAAACTACAACAAACTAAGGATGGGAATAAGACATGCCAGCATACAAGGGTCCGACCACACCATCATCTCATACCATTGTCCAAGATAAAGATAAACATTATATGATTAGGGCTGCCAACAAATATATCCCATCATGTGGAACATGCTATCACCTCCAACAATAATATTAATATTTTTGAATGATTATTTTTAATATTATGAATATACTTATATATGTTTTTTTTTTAATTTTTAACATGTTCTTTAAATATTAGTTAACATATTTAATATTAATTTAATTATTTTGTCAAAATAGTTTTATAATTACATTATGTATTAAAATAAAATTAATACTAAAATACTTAATAGATGTTTAATTAAGTTACATAATTAATTAATATTTTTTTAAAATAAATTGTTTTTATTATTTAAAATCATTAATTTTATAACAAAAAATCTTTATTGATTTTTTTTTTAGTTTTTTTAAATAAACACAAATTAATGAATAAAAAGAGTAAAACAAAAAGGATGAGAGAAATAAAATCTAATTCATTAAACAACTAGCGAAAATAATGGTTGGAAATGCACAATTTATTTATAAAAAAACTTTCAAAAACACAAATAAAAAGTGAATCCCATCAAATATCATAATCAATTATAAAATAATATATATATCATTTAAATGATATATAAATGATATCTCATTTGATATATAAATTTATTTTTAAATGATATCTCATTTGAATGACGTGACAATCCCTCTTGTATTAATTTTTATAGAATTTAAAAAAAAATTAGTTAAATGTTATTAAAAAATAAATGCATCATCAATTTTAGTGCAAAAATATAAGAAAAGAAGTAATATTACTTGAATTTAAAAAATAAAAATTAATTTCATGAATAAAGTAAAATAAGAAAATTCAAATTCAAATTAAATCATATATAAAATATCAAAATACAGAAAAATAAAAATATAAAAGAACAAAAAGATAAAAAGTCAACATTTTACTTTATTTTTACATGAGATATTAGGTTTGTTTGTTAAAGTTTTATTTTTAAAAAGACCACATTTTAAAATAAATTATTCAAATAAATTATTCAAATAAATTATTTTAAATAGCTTATTTTCATAATCATTTTTAATAACTAACTTTTTTTAATAAAAAATAGTTTTTATTGTAGTCAACAAACATAATAACTTATATTTCTTTGTTTAATTAATTGATGTTTAAATTATTAAAAACAAAAATCAATTTTTTACCAGAACAAATTACCATAATGATACTTCAAAATTAGGAGTTTAATCAAAAAACTTGAATTCGAATTCAGCTTCATCCTCTCGATTCGAAAGATTAATCTACACAGTTGCGTACGAAAATATTGTACTTATAAAAGAAAACCTAGATTTTATTAGTACTTTCTAGTCTTAACTATTTTGAACCAAAAATGTAACTTTAAGGGCCCATGAGTTAGTTCATTAACCGAAAGATCCTAATCTGGGACACCATCTATTAGTTGCCAGTTTTTAATTGAAAACATGGGATAAAACGCCCCTGGTATTTCACTATCTTTTCCCTTTATTAATAACCTCTTACATAACCATACCAATATTCTCAACACATTTTACATTTACCAATTTTTACTTACATTGAATTTGACAATATCTTACAAGTTACATGATGGATGTGTTCATTCCAGAAGATTATGTTAGAAAGAGAAGGCTTGAGAAAAAGCTCAAAAGCACGGTGGTGGCTTCAACAAAAAGCTCCCAAACACATTCACGTGAGAGGATTGAGAATAATAAAGACAAGTCCTTCACTCCTTATCATCCACATGATCATCTTTTTATTTGCTTCTCTGCTTAATTCATTTCTACTCCTATTTTTGTTAGTAGTTTTGGAACTTTCTACCTTCTTCAACTTTTTCTATACATGGAGTTGTTAGAGTAGTATGTGTGGTATTGGTATGATGAATGAGGCTTCTTAATTAATTAATATGTATGAATTTATCACTTTAGAATACATGTATTAGCAACATAATTTAAATGATTTTATTTTATTTTATTTTATGAAAACATCTAAAATGATTATTAACTTTTTTGTTGCAAAATATTGTTGCTTAAAGTTCCCTTCTAAGGGTTGCATCCCAATTTCGAAATGTCAACATTTCTTAAATTCGCCAATTTCAATCGCATCATAAGCTACTTTCAATGATAAATGTTGTCGTTACACAAAAGCAGAGACCTCCAAGTAAGTAATTTATTGATCCCTACAAAAAAAAGTGTGATTGCCGCATATATGAAACACGCTCACATGTCATACCAAGTAATTTAGATTTGTGCCGGTTGAAAAATATATTCAAAGTTTGATTGTGATCCAAATCTTTAGAACCACAAACCGAATGAGACTATACTATTGAGATACATTTCTTTTATTAATAAATGATTAATAGGATATTAGTGTGTTTTTACGAATACTAATGTGATATAGTTTATTTATTTTTAAAATATAATAAAAATAAAATAATTTTTTTTATAATATATTGGTGATTATAATAAAATATTTGAATTAATAATATATATATATATATATATATATATATATATATATATATATATATATATATATATATATATATATATATATATATATATATATATATATATATATATATATATATATATATATATATATATATATATATATATATATATATATATATATATATATATATATATTTAAATCAATAGTAAAATTATTATATTATTAATCAATATTTTTATCAGCAATTTCATTTTATTAAATATTTTAATCAATAACTTCATGTTCATGTTAATATTCAATATTTTGATCAATAATTTCTTATTTTTGTTATTTAATATTTTTATTAATATTCAATATTTTGATAAATAATTTCATGTTCTCGTTAATATTCAATATTTTGATCAATAATTTAATATTTCTGTTAATATTTAATATCTTAATTAATAATTTAATGTTTCTGTTAATATTTAATAGTTTGATCAATAACTTCATGTTTCCGTTAATATTCAATATTTTGATCAATAATTTTATATTATCATTAATATTCAATATTTTTATCAGTAACTTCATATTTTCGTTAATATTTTATATTTTGATTATTAATTTAATATTTTCGTTAATATTTAATAGTTTGATGAGTAATTTAATATTTTTATTAATATTCAATATTTTGATTAGTAACTTCATATTCTCGTTAATATTTAATAGTTTGATCAATAACTTCATGTTCCGGTTAATATCCAATGTTTTAATTAGTAACTTCATGTTCTCGTTAATATTTAATAGTTTGATCAATAACTCCATGTTCTCGTTAATATTCAATAGTTTGATAAGTGATTTCATATTTTCGTTAATATTCAATATTTTGATAAGTAACTTTATGTTTTCGTTAATATTCAAAATTTTGACCAGTAATTTCATGTTCCCGTTAATATTCAATATTTTTATCTGTAACTTCGTGTTCCCATTAATATTTAATATTTTGATCAATAATTTCATGTTTATGTTAATATTCAATATTTAGATCATTAACTTCATGTTGTCGTTAATATTTAATATTTTGATTAATAACTTCATGTCCTCTTAATATTCAATATTTTTATCAGTAATTATTTCATGTTCTCGTTAATATTCTATATTTTGATTATTAACTTCGCATTCCCCTTAATATTCAATATTTTAGTAAGTAACTTCATATTTCTGTTAATAATTTAAATTTTTAAAAATATTAATAGACACTTATTTGTCAATCTTGATAATCTTCATTTTGCCAACAAAAAGTTAAATTATTGAAATGATGTTTGAATCCCCATGTTTAAAAAACACATTTATCATGCTCAAGTATAGCTCGTTGACAACCGATAACCGATAATATTAATATAATTAAGTAATCATAAATTTTATAAAATATGTAATAATTAATTTAGTTGAACAAATATGATTGATTTATTAAAAAAATGTGATTGATATAGTTAAACAATTATAATCTTACACTCATTTAAAAATAAATTAAAGATATATAAAAATATGATTGAATTAGTTTAACAATTGTTAATATAATTTATTATTTAAATTATAACTTATTATATTATTTAAATTATAACTTATTATATTATATAAATTAACCATAATTTTTAATTTAGTTAAAGAAAAGTTATTATCATATCACCCAAAATTTATCTGTCCTTGATTAAGGAAGTGTTTTTTTAAGTATCACGTGTAAATTTTTTAACTTTCATATTCAACTAAAGTTATAGACATCAATTTAAGGACCTTGTTGGCTTGGCAACTTGGATTTCTTAGATTTGTCTCCAGTTGTTCTGGTAGATAATCTATTAGTGTCAAAACTCAGAGTACCATGTGGATTAAGGAGATATACATGCTTAAAAGAAAAAACGGCGTAAAGAGACAAATGAATCGGCATAAACAGACAGAACATAAAAAATTTTGCATGACCATTTTTCAAGCAAATAAGTTGAGTCGTCGGAAACATTAGCTCTCCCTAGGATCTCAAATAGCAAAATCATTTTTTTGCCTTGAGGATAGATTGAAGGAACTCCTAGAAAGTTTATTTGTTGAAATCACTCTAATATATATGATGTTACTAACAACTTTTTTTCTTAAATCAATGGCAGGTAACGTGAAACAACGTCGTCGAGATTCCACCATGGTTTTAACCAAAGTGTCAGTAAAAAGATTTTCCTGCATAGCAGACAAAATGAATATTGAACAACAACCAGCCACCAAGAAAGATTCGAAACTATTTCCGTAAACCCAAATTTACGTGCGAAATAAAAATACAGTTGCTTTTCAGTATCCAAAATGCTGGCCATAATGCTATATCGAGACGAATTAGGCGAAAGCTTCAAAATGTGAATGAGAGAAAATTGTGAACATGAAAGAAGACTAAATGCTCACACTTTGAACACTTGCTCAAACGTAGAAGAACGGAGAAGCCAAGTAATTTAAGTGGTAGGTTGGAAGTGGAAAATAGAAATATATTATGATGCACTTGAATGAAGAGCTACTAATGAAGTATAAACACCATCAGTAATCTTCATCAACACAACATGTCTTTCCTTTTCAGCAACCACTCCATTTTTAATCACTGCTATAGTATCCGCCCGTCAAAACGTTATTGAATCATCATACAACTAAATAATAAGCGCATTTCCCAAGTTTATCAATCTATGAATAAGAAAATATAGCACACCTATGCAAACACTTTATCCATCTAACTAACTCATACGAATTTATTTTAGTAAGAATCTGTCCATGTTCAAAATCTGCAATATTTAGTTCCTTTTGTAGTTCAGTCAAGAGTTCCTCTTTTCCCTACACCCACAAACAAATTACCATCATATACCTTGTATAAATAAAGAGAGGATTTACATCGCAAGAGCATATTCAATGAGTGAAAGTCAACCACAGAGAACAAGTTCATAATAAATATTTACCCAAGTAAGAATATCTGATTGAACAATAAAAGTCTTCAACATGGAACTGTAAGCCGCAATTTCCAGATAATGAATATGATGTTCCAAGTTCAATGCATCCCTCATCCCGTTTGGATCTGCAATCAATATGCATTTACATCATCTAGATATTACTTCACATAATTCATTAAACCTTTGCATGAATTATGAAAAGGACAATGCAATAAAAACGGATCACCTTTTCGTACTGGTTGCAATCACCAAATCTTTCATATCAATACAAATACGAACACCTTTTCATGTTATTCACCTTCAGTACGAATAAGCTTTTCGTATTCTCATTCCATCTGCACAAAGGCTGTTGGAAATCCACCAATACTCTATGATGAATTTCGACCACCACTGATGATTAGTTATGAGACAAACAAAGAAAAGACAATAGAGATATTTCTGCAGAGTTTCTCTCTTCCCACAAACTGTGGAAATTTTACTATTCACTTTGCAACTGCAAAATACTGTGAATGACTTGATTACAAAATAGGGGTTACTCCCTCTATTTATAGATTTAGGTCAGCTTTCTCCCTAAGCTAAAACCCAAGCCCAAAATATCTTTTTACTAAATCAAATCTAATCAAATCTATTCTAGACTTAAATTCAAATCTATTTAAATCTAAAACAAAATCAAATCTAATTTTGACACATATGGATTACAATTTGACACACCACCTAATTCATTGTGTTTAAATTGTCTATGTTCATCATGGCCCTTAGCTTTCTGAATACTTCGACTTGCACTCCCTTTGTCATGATGTCTGCAATCTGATTCTCAGTTATGCAGTGTTCCAAATTCATCTTCCCATCTGCTACCTGCTCTCGAAGATAATGGAACCTCATTTCGATGTGCTTACTTCGACCATGTGCTATTGGGTTCTTCGCCAGATTAATAGCTGACATGCTGTCTATCTTCATGGTAATTGCTCCATGATTTTTCCCTGTTATCTCTTCGACCAAGCTCATCATCCAAGTTGCTTGACATGCACAAAGAGAAGCATCTATGTATTCTGCTTCGCATGATGATAATGCCACTACTGGTTCTTTTCTCGAATTCCAAGCAATTGGTGCACCATCTAGCATAAACACATATCATGCTGTTGACTTTCGATCTTCAGTATCACTACACCAACTCGAATCAGTGTATCCCACTAACTTGCATTCTTTTCCTTTATCAACTGCAGGAAACAAAATGCCATAATCGAAAGTTCCTTTGAGATACCTTAGTATCCTCTTCACTGCTGCTAGATGTGATACCTTTGGCTTCTGCATGAATCTACTTACCATACCTACATTGTATTCTAAGTCAGGCCTTGTATGACAAAGGTATCTCAATGATCCAATAAGTCTTCTGTATTGGGTTGGATCAACATCATCTTCATCTGCATCTTTCGACAGTTGCAGTCTTGGTTCT